CTACAAAAAATTAGCTGGGCATGGTGTCGCATGCCTGTAATCCCAGCTACTCAGGAGGCTGAGGCAGGAGAATTGCCTGAACCCAGGAGGCGGAGGTTGCGGTGAGCCAAGATCGCGCCATTGCACTCCAGCCTGGGCAACAAGAGCGAAACTCCGACTCAAAAAACAAAAAACAAAAAACGGGGTTTCACCATGTTGGTCAGGCTGGTCTTGAACCCCCGACCTCAGGTGATCCGCCCGCCTTGGCCTCCAAAGTGCTTGGATTACAGGCGTGAGCCGCAACACCCCACCACCAATTTTTTAAAATCCAAATATATCTCATGGTACAGTAAAAGAACTGGCCGGAGGGTCTGAAGTTTGGGTTCTGGTCCTGGCTATGCCACTGACTCACTGTGGCCTTAGGCAAGTACCTGCTCCTCTCTGGCTCAGTCTTCTCTGCCCAGTGGCCAGGATATTGTTCAGATGGCCTGCAAGACCCCTTCTGTCTTTGACATCGCTAATAATGATAATAGCAACCATAATAATTATGTCCTGACATACAAGGTCCTGCCTGAGCTGGCCTCTGTCTACCCAAAGCACCAGACTCCTTGCCCTGCCTCAGGGCCTTTGCACGTGCTATTTCCACTGACAGCAGCACTCAACTACTTCTGCTTCTTGCACATTCATTCTTCTGATCTCCATTGAAACTTCACTTGCAGGGCCAGGAGCGGTGGCTCACGACTGTAATCCCAGTACTTTGGGTGGCCAAGGTTGGGGGATCGCTTGAATCCAGGGGTTGGAGAGCAGCCTGGGCAATATAGTGAGATCCTCCCCCTGCCAAATCTCTACAAAAAAATTCAAAAATTAGCTGGGCATGGTGGCACACACCTGTAGCCCCACCTACTAGGGAGGCTGAAGGGGGAGGATTGACTGAGCCTGGGAGATGGAGCCATGCACTCCAGCCTGGGAGACAGAGACCCTGTCTGAAAATAAATAAATAAAAAGAAAATTCACTTGCTTATGACATTCCCTGACTACATAGACTAGATGCAGTCCCTAGATTTATATCCTTATGGTATATATTAACTTCATTTCATTTAAGTGTTTCTGTAGTTCTCCGCCTAATATCTGTATCCCTGTTCTTCAGTGCCTGTAAATGCCATAAGGGCTGGAAATCTGTCCTATATGCTAGCAGCTAGCTCAGAAGGTGCTCAGAAATTTGTTGTGGATTCAGAGTGACTTTCCCAGGGTCACACCATTGGCAGCACCAGAATTTGAACCCAGTCTGTCTGATGTCATGGCCTGAGCTTCCACCTTACCTGCTGTTTTTTATTCTAGGACCTTGTGCTGTGAAGACATTTCCCAAGTGCTTCTTGTTAGCCAGCAAATCCGACCCGCAAGGCCTGGAAAGAGGTGATTTTTAGGTTGTGGAGAGGTGATCTTATCCAGCTCCGCTTCCCTGGGACCCACCGTGGGACCTGAGGCAGAACTGGGGTGGACTTGGCCTCCTCCATGGCACACCGGCTGCAGATACGACTGCTGACGTGGGATGTGAAGGACACGCTGCTCAGGCTCCGCCACCCCGTAGGGGAGGAGTATGCTGCCAAGGGCCGGGCCCACGGACTGGAGGTGGAACCCTCAGTCCTGGAACAAGGCTTCAGGCAGGCGTACAAGGCTCATAGCCGCAGCTTCCCCAACTACGGCCTGAGCCACGGCCTCACCTCCCGCCAGTGGTGGCTGGACGTGGTCCTGCAGACCTTCCACCTGGCGGGTGTCCGGGATGCTCAGGCTGTGGCGCCCATCGCCGAACAGCTGTATGAAGATTTCAGCAGCCCCTGCACCTGGCAGGTGCTGGATGGGGCTGAGGACACCCTGAGGGGGTGCCGTACACGGGGTCTGAGGTTGGCAGTAGTCTCTAACTTTGACCGACGGCTAGAGGGCATCCTGGCAGGTCTTGGCCTGCGTGAGTACTTTGACTTTGTGCTGACCTCTGAGGATGCTGGCTGGTCCAAGCCGGACCCTCGCATTTTCCAGGAGGCCTTGCGTCTTGCTCATATGGAACCTGCAGTGACCGCCCATGTTGGGGATAATTACCTCTGTGATTACCAGGGGCCTCGGGCTGCGGGCCTGCACAGCTTCCTGGTGGTTGGCCCACAGGCAGTGGACCCCATGGTCAGGGATTCTGTGCCTAAAGAACACATCCTCCCCACTCTGGCTCATCTCCTGCCTGCCCTTGACCACCTAGGGGGCTCAACCCCAGGACTTTGAGGCTGGTGAGGGAAGTGGCTGGGCCCTAGGCCGTGGAGAAAACCCAAAACAAACCCTGCAGACAGGGAGCCCCTTCTTTCTCCAAAGCTCTGGACTTTCCTGGTCTCCCTGCGGCCTTCATCACCTATTCTGATAATAAAGCAGTTTGAGTGCTGGGCTCTCAGCCTTGCCCCACTAATCAGCTCCTAGCCTCTGCCTTCCCTCATTCTTATTCACACCTGTGTCCCTTTTCCACTAGGAGTCCTCTTCACATCCACCAGGACACACAGAGGGTCCAACTAGCTTCAAAACCAGGCACTTTCAAACTTGGTTTTAGCAGCAGGGGCCTTTTGTCATGGGAGATCTGAAACCCCATTATGCAAAACTAAAAACACTGAAAAACTGCTGGAGTAGAAGCAGAGGTCCTAAGGCCTCTCGTTTAGCTTCTGAAACACCCTCCCTCTGGAAGCCTGGGGTCAGCACTTAGTTTGAAAAGCAGGATGCTAAGCTGTCCATAGGAACACTGTCCATTAGCACCATGTAGTATGAAGGGGTGAATTTAAACAAGGAACCCCATGACAGTCATGAGAAGAAATCCTGTTGGCTTATGCCTGCTTGGTGTTAGGTAATGTGATAAGTTTTTTTTTTTTTTTTTTTTTTGAGACGGAGTTTCGCTCTTGTTACCCAGGCTGGAGTGCAATGGCGCGATCTCGGCTCACCGCAACCTCCGCCTCCTGGGTTCAGGCAATTCTTCTGCCTCAGCCTCCTGAGTAGCTGGAATTACAGGCACACACCACCATGCCCAGCTAATTTTTTGTAGTTTTAGTAGAGACGGGGTTTCACCATGTTGACCAGGATGGTCTCGATCTCTTGACCTCGTGATCCACCCGCCTCGGCCTCCCAAAGTGCTGGGATTACAGGCTTGAGCCACCGCGCCCGGCAAGGTAATGTGATGTTACTTATATGCTCGTATAACCCCCAAAGCTACCTCACTGGATCTAGGTGGTTTGCCCCCTCCACAACTTTACAAATGAGGAAACTGAAATGCAGAAGTTAAGCAACCTGCATGAGGTCACAGCTAGCATGTAAAAAAGCCAGGATTCCAATTTAGGCACATCTGACTTCAAAGCCCATTGGTGTAACTGCCAGGTTGCAGGTAGATGGGGATCCTTGTCATGTGAGACATGGTACAGTAGAGATCCTGGGCGAATAGGGGAGGTGTCCTAAAGAATGTCAACCTTGAAGGGCATCCCAGTCACAGAGACTAGCGTGGAGGTAGGAAAGTACTGGGAACAAGGACTGGACAGGAGTATAGGGAATAGGTTTGGGGGGAGGGGGAAACAACTGGAGGTTGAAGAAGTAAGTTGGGTTTTCAATTTCCTTTCTCACTTTAGGAGGCTGAGGCAGGAGTATCACTTGAGCCCAGGAGTTTGAGACCAGCCTGGGCAACATGGTGAAACTCCACCTCTACAAAAAATTTGAAAACTAGCCTGGTGTACCGGCACACACCTTTAATCCCAGCCACTCAGAAGGCTAAGGTAGGAGGATCGCTTGAGCCCAGGAGTTTAGTTACGTGAGCTACGGTGGTGCCTCTGGATTCCAGCCTGGGCAACAGCGAAACCTTGTCTCTAAAAAAAAAGAAATCTCTTCCTGCCTCCCTACCTTCCCACACACCTTTCTAATTGGTATTTGCTGGACATCTCTGTGCCTTGCCCATTGCCAGGGGATGCCACATGTTAAAATCACAGGCACACACCTGGCAGTGTGTTCTGGTGCCAGCAGCCAGGGAGGGCTCTGGAGTGGATGCTGAATTGAGGGGTGGCATTGGGGGGTGGCTTTAGATGAGCAGACAAATGAGGAGGGCATTCCTGCAGCAGGCCCATGAACTTGAATGAAGGCTGCTGTGAGAAGCTGAGTTGGTGGATTGGGGGAGACATGGCCTGGGGGGCCTTCCACGAGGTAGCTTTGAGGGTTATCCGTGCATGTAAGTAACAGCACATTACTAACACAAAGCAGGCATAGGTCAACAGGATTTCTTCTCATGACTGTCATGGGGTTCCTTGTTTAAATTCTCCCCTTCGTACTATGTGGTGCTAATGGACAGTGTCCCTGCAGGATGGCTTAGCATCCTGCTTTTCAAACTAAGCACTGACCCCAGGCTTCCTGAGGGAGGGTGTTTCAGGCCTTCAAGCTCTTCCGGCCAAGTAGAGCTTTGGCTTTGCCCCAGATTTTTTAGCTGGGGCTGTGCCCAGGCAAAGGCAGGGAAGATCTCTTTGGGGCTTGACCAAAGTCTTCCTTGGGACTGGCACCAAGGCCAGGCTACAGTAATTTCCTCTTTTTTTCTGAGACTGAGTCTCATTCTGTCGCCCAGGCTGGAGTGCAGTGGTGCGATCTCGGCTCACTGCAACCTCCCCCTCCCAGGTCCAAGCAATTCTCCTGCCTCAGCCTCCTGATTAGCTGAGATCACAGGTGTACACCACTATGCCTAGCTAATTTTTTGTATATTTAGTAGAGATGGGGTTTCACCATGTTGGCCAGGCTGGTCTTGAACTCCTGACCTCAGGTGATCCACCCGCCTCGGCCTCCCTTTGAGACTGTCTCAAAAAATAAAAATAAAAAATAAACAGTGGTTTTCAAACTACTCTATGGCTCCCAAACAAAGTGGGGAGGGCTCTGCCTCTCATCTTCTTTGGACCCAGGAGCCTAAAGTTGTAGGTAAGATTGCTTTAGAAGAGAGTTCCTGGACAAACGTTTGAAGACCGCTGTTCTAGGGTGAACTCCTCACAGAGGCAAACATAAAGGAACTTGCCTTGGGTCTTGATAGCATCTCCAGGCTCTTTCTGCTACGCTGAGCTGCCACCCACTTATTTCCAAGAATGCGATAAGGGTATGAAGATGGGCCAGCATACAGTATACACCTAATTACCAACAAAGAACACGGAATAAATCTTTAATGCTTTTAAGACCTTTAATAATGTCCATGTGCCCTAAGGCTGGCCCTCTGGCTCCCTCAGCAATTTCTGGCTTTAAGCCCTCACCCCAGGTGTGCAGTTTATGTCAGAGGGGGCCATCAGGTAGGGAAACTTATCAGCTGCTCTAAGGGAAAAGGCCATCCCTGCTTTTACTGGTGGACACAGGCTGGGGCTCAGCTGGCAGGTGTGAGACAGATGCTGATGATGTGGCTGTGGTCAGGTTACCTGGAGACACAACCCCCTGGTCCTCTGAGAGCCTAGGCAGGACAATGGGGAGGACACAGTCCCCCATGCCAGAGTCCTCTGGCCAGAAGCAGCCTTTCAGTTTGCCCTTGTGTGCTAGAAAAAATATTTTCTCTATGTGCCGTGTCATGAAAAAGACAGAGGCACTGAATTAATGGGATGCAGAAACTTTGGCCAGCCTTCTCTGCCTGTGAAGAGAAGCACTTCTTCACGTGCAAAGCTGGAGCAGGCGGCTGAATGGCAGTGCTTCTCCAGAGACCACCACATCCACCCAGTCACCTGTCCATCCACCTACCTACATTCACCTCTCCACCTGTCCATCCACTCACCTGCCAAATGTTTATTGCATACTTGCTATGTACCAGGCACCATGCTGGATGCCAGAGACAAAGTGAAGACACCCTCAGAGGGGCAGATACATGGTGGATTTGGGAGACTAAGGCCCAGGAAGTAGTGGCAGGTTCCCCACAGATACCCAGCATTCAAAGCAGCAATGTCCAACTCTTTGAATTCGAGGGCTTTTTTGCTTATCTGTGGTGGCAGATATCACAAAAATTATACAGACTTTTTTTTTTTTTTTTTTTTTTAGCTTAGCTCATCAGCTATTGTTATTTTATGTGGCCCAAGAAAATTCTTCTTCTACTGTGGCTCAGGGCAGCCAAAAGTTTGGACACCTGTGATTTACAGGTTGTGCCTAGATCTGAAACAGATCCCCATCCCTCCTAAAGCTGCCCACTGATTGTGGGCCCTGTTTCCCTTAGAAACACCACATACATCATTTGGGAAAAGGACACTCAGTAAAAACATGGCCTGAAAGGGTGATGGAAGGTGGACCTGGCTTCCTGTGGCCAGAGGTCAGCGAACGATGGAAATGGTCTGATCGGCCACAGCAAAGACTGGGAAGAGGGGCCCAGGGAAGGCCCCATGATAGGTATAGAGCACTGTGCCAGAGGCTGGCTCATAGAAGAGCAGCTCCCGAGCCTGCAAGTCCAGCAGCACACCCAGCTGGGCTGGGCCCCGCAGCAGCCCCAGGGGCTCGTGCTGCGCATTGTGTGAGAAACGAAACTCCTGATCGTAGCGAGAGAAGACCCAGGAGAAGGCATTGTGGCCCAGACGGCAGTCACTGCCAGAACCCTTGCGGGGCAGGTGGCCTGAGGCCACGCCCACCTTATAGGCACAGCTGTTCTGGACATTCACTATCCAGGCATGGAGCCCATCCTGGAAGGAGGTGGCAGCCAGGGCATTGGGCCAGTGGTCAAAGCGCTCCGGGCCATCTGCACAGGGCTTTGACTTCTTGGTGCTGAAGGTCAGGGTCTTTCGATCATCTGACAATTGCAGGAAGGGGCTGACTGTCCTCTCATCGATCCGTATGTCCTCTGTACCTGCCAGAAAGAATTATCAGAGTTGCCAAGGGCCCACCCCTGCCCTAACCTGGTCTTGCCAGGTAGCAAAAAGTTCCTCACCACTCATTGGCACGGTGAGCTCAGATAAGCCATTTACTCTCTCTGAGGCACATTTGCAAAATGGGGGTCAAAATAGGACTTCTCACTGAGCGATCATGAGAATTAAACAGAATCATACATGTAAAGTGCCCAGCATGTAAGTGCTCTATAAACTGTAGCCCTGATAACAACAGTTATTATTGGTCAAGACCCTCATCTGTAAACTCTGTTAGAAATAAGGCCCAGAGAGAAGTGAGTTGCCCAAGTTCACACACTGAGTCGGTGTCAGGGGCAAAATGAAGACAAAGCATTTTGTTCCTATGCCTAGCACTGATTATGCTGCTTTCTACCTGTTCATATCTGTGGCCTCCAGATTGGTTTTGTCCTAGAAACACAGCCTCAGGAAGCTAGGAAGCATGAGATATGCAATTTCCAGCCAATAACTAAACTGCTGGTAAATCAGGCATCGTTTGATACCAGAATCTACAGTAGACAAGCTACATCTTGTGCCAAAATCATAAGGATAATATAAGGAGGGAGGA